CTTTATCAAAACTCTCAGTGGGAGTTCAGAGTGACTTCTCTGGAAGCCAGATGGGCTATAAAAAGAGCAAAATGAATCCTTAACAGTATAAGGAGTCTGAACCAATGGAAAACGTAATGCAATTTTCAGCGTATTTATTGTTGCTAAAATACTGATGTGATGATTCATTACCTGGGGGGAAGTATAACCTGTACCAGTGCATAACTCACAGTGCATAGGTACAGCACAAATATTAAGTGATAAATGCTCTGCTTTGTCCTATCCATCTGTGAAGAGGGCTGCCTTGGAAGCCTGCCACAAAGGCTGGGGAGTCAGTGTGATAGTCGGAGTTGCTGCTTCCGGTCAGGAGATCTCTACCCGGCCATTCCAGCTAGTAACTGGGCGCACGTGGAAAGGGACCGCATTTGGAGGTAACTTACTTTTGGTATGGTGATACAGGTAACTTAGTATTGTTTAAATGTGGGAAGAACATACTGCCTTGCTTTTGCTTGGGGAAGAAACCTACTACTGGCAGGTTATTAAGAAATGCTGCGTTGGCTTTAAGATAAAGCTTTAAAAATCTTATATTCATGCAGACAGGCTACAGATAAACATCTTGGTATTATATCTCACAAATTTCAAATGCAGAACATAGCCATATGCTATCCACTTGTAAAAGAGCGGCATAAAGTAGTTGTTTTATTAACAGCTGAAAATTTGGGATATGCAGTAAAAGGACCTGATCTCTGAGGAGATCAAAACTCACATAAACCTGTTTTTGTTGTCACAAAGCACCTTGTGGGACTCCGTATGGGCAAGAAGTGTCACTGAGTCACTAAAATGGCAACTAGTTATAAAAGAAGCTTTAAAATAAAAAGCAACAAGTTCATGATGAGCCTTTCCTGCTGGTCAGACCAGAAGCATATGGAGCTTTTACAGCCAGCAGTAACTTGGGGAATTCAGTCACTGCTGAAGTTCATATAGGTATCCAAACTTCATGCCATTTCTTACGCAGCTGTTTTTCCAAGTAATACAAAGATTACATAGAGGGGCTGGTGGAGGTGCCTAGGGTACACGTCTGAGGTGAGGGCTGCTGTATGTTCAACACTGAAACACTAGTGAAAGGTCAGTGCACTAGTGTGTTCGGCTAACATGCTCTCTCTTGCCAGATCTAGCCTGTCCTCCTACATTCCTTACTCACTGCCCACCTAGAGCAGGAGGGACAAACATGTCACCGATTTCAGGCCTTCAGTTTCTCAGAATATCTGTCACATAAGTACTCCCATAAGGGTTGTACATTTTTCTTCCTCTCTCTTTGCTCCCAAGTGGGAGGATAGGGGAAAAACAAACACACGCTTGCTGTCTTTCAGGCTGGAAGAGAACTGGTGAATGACTACATGTCCAAAAAGATCAAAGTTGATGAATTTGTGACTCACAATCTGCCTTTTGACAAAGTTAATGAAGCTTTTGAGCTGATGCATTCAGGAAAGAGGTAACATTCATTATGTTGAAGGTTTCTTGATGGGACAGTGTCTAGATAAATGTTCCTTGCCCAGTGCCATGTTTTGACAGGGAGGATAAGGGCTGACATACAGCACGCACGTTCATTCTGAGATCAAACAAACGCTTTCTCAGGACTTCTAGGCGTGTGCTGAAATCAGTCTGTAGAGTGGGAAGGAGACAGAAAGGCAGAGAGTTAAAAGCAAGCAACAATATGCAAGGGAAAGACGAAATTCTGTAAAAGTGAAAAAGGGGGAGAAGTTGGTTTTAGCCTTCAACTTCCAAAACTGACTGCTAGAACATTCTTCTTGGAAAGATAAATGCAAAGCGATTGAAGGAGAGTGCCCATGAATTAAATCTAACACTTTCACAAAAGTCATTAAGCTGTTAGCCTGAACTAAATGGTAGGTTTTTCAAACAACAATTACTGCCTTAGGACTAGGATAGATCCATTATAAACCATCATGCAGAATGATCTTTTAATGTGCTATATTTTGCACTACTAAATTTTTTTCTTTAGTGTGACGTGTAGAACATTAACATGATGGTTTTGAACTTCTTAGTCAGTTAGCTTTCCAGGCATTTCTGCCAGGCAGTTTTGACTATTCATATGGCAGACTTGTACCATAGCTGTGATCTGTATTAAAAATCCCTAGCGAGGCTCTGACCCCACTGCAGAGTGAAATGACTATTTGCTAGTGAAAAATCTGCTGGATGCATGAGCCTTGCTGCCCCCTAGAAGCGGTGAGCAGCAAATGGTGTATCTTGCAAACAATGATCAAAATCAACCTGCAACAGCAGCATAAGGCTCGGAGTAGAGTTATTATTAGAGGACATATTAGGCAGTCCTTGTGAAGCCCCCTGCAAACGTGGGCATGGATGCACTTGAGGGAAAACAGGGACCAGCACGGGGATACAGTGGCAAAGCTTGAATCTGTAGGTTAACATCTAAGGCAATGAACACAAGGGGGAAAGGAATGGTCAGTTTTAGCCTCAGGTGTGTTAGACTTTGTCCTGCAGTGTATTTTCATGTGGAGGCTTGTCATAGAGGCCAACTCACTTAAGAGCCCACCTCTTTTAAATGAGAGTTTTAATGAGATGCTTTTTAATTTGCTGAAAATTCAGAGATTCTTAATGAAATAGCTACTAGTGCCTCTTAGAGCAGCAACCAGGTTATTAGCAGTGTAGGTCACATACTTTTTAAGAACATAGATTGAATGAAGGGAAGAAGCAGCTGATGGACAAGGAAAGTGGACAGGAGGAACATTCTATTAGAAGAGAGTCTCTTCCTGCATATTTCCTCTAATGGAGGTGATTCTGTTTTTTCATATTTAGGTTCATCTACATACAGATAAGCAGAGTTGCCTGCATTATTTTAAGAACTCGTCTTCCTCTTTGTATTTGACCTCAGTCCACACTGATTTTGATTTAGTGTCTATCACTTTCTCAGAAATAGTTTTTGCTCTCTGCTTTATCTGATTACTTCAGATTTACTTCATACATATTCCTATTTTGGATAACTCGGTTGGCAGTAATTACATTTGTACCTTTTACAACTGGAAACACTGCATCAACTCTGTACATTTCATCCAGCAGTTACGAACTTGTGCGTCATTTCAGTGCTTTATTTCTAAGCCCGTCCTATGAAACTAATAATGAAAGTTAAAAGTTCCCCAGACAGGAGAAAGAGGAGGGAATGCTTATAATTTTAGTCTTTCTGATCAAGATTCTTGGCTAGCTACTGAAAACTGGCACTGAAACTGCCACTGAAACTTCCATTTTGAGTTTATCTTAATGGGGAAGAGGCTAAAAACCAAAGACAGTAACAGGCTCTACTAGCCTATTTCTAGGCAGGATTTTTAATAAATATTTATTATAGGCATAAGCAAAACTTCATTCTTACAGCTGAAAGTTAAGTGAAAATACGCCTCAGCAACAAATAGGAAGGGGAGGGGACAGAGGTGGAGAAAATGAACTTCTTAGTGATAACTATTTTTTTTTTCCTTTCATTTTAAGTATTCGAACTGTCCTCAAGCTTTAGAGCCGAATGTGGATCTGCGAGTTGGTCAGCAACATGGTAACTGTCCATTTATAACGGAATTTCTGACAGAGGGTATGATCAGGTAAATGAGAACTCATGGGGACTAGGAAGACAAAGTATTTTAGGATGAGCATTCTGAATATTAAGTAACCTGCTCTGACAGAACAATCAAAGTAACCACTGAGTAACACTGCATACTTAATGCTGACCTTGGAACTCCCGTTTCTGTACTTGTTCCTCAAATTCTAGTATGTACTTGTTCCTTAAATTCTAGTATGTACTTGTTCCTTACATTTAGTGCCTATCTCAATCTGCTTAATAAAAGATCATTTCTAAACACAGTGTTGGAATTCTTAAGCATTAAGTCACTGATTGCCGAGTCTTACTGTTTTCTCTAGTGCCGTCACAGTATCTGCACTCATTATGGAGGTATAGCAGTCTTTTGAGCCAATAGCGAATGATGTTGTGGGATTTGTTACACCAGGTAGTTTGCTAAGCATTGCCTGGTTGGGAAGCAGCCTCGAGGCAATGTAACTGCAGTGAGAGAACGGCAAGAAAACAGCTGTCACACTTTTCAGGCTATTCCAGGGATGAAAAAGGATATACCATCCAGCTCTACCTCCAAGCCGACCAGTGGAGCAGGCTGTGGTTGGATGTATGCCCTAAACGTCCAGATATACTCTGATGTCAGTTTGGGAGGTCTATATTCTGCTTAATTTCCTTCTTGGTTCATTACACTAGCTGGAGCTAGGCTTGTTGTAAAAATGATAGCATAAAACTACTTCGCTGACTTGTCCTGGTGTTCTCCAAGATTCAGTAGCACAGAAAAAGGTTTGCTGTTTCCTTAGGCTTCCTAACAACTGAAGAAGCCTTTGCAGCCACTGCGAAATTTGAGGTTGTTACCTCTACTGAGTCAAAACTAGGATCGTGCCTCTTGAGGGGCACAGGGAAAGAACGATGAAGGGCCTTGTATGATAAAAGCTTCACTATTTCGGTGTTTTAATTTGAGATTGCAGTGTTTTCCTAAGCCCCTGAAGTTTTGTCACTACTTTCTTACTAGAGTTGAAGTCACCTAACCAGGTAAGATTTCTTAGAACTGAAACATGAAAGCAGCGCGGCTGGTCCAGAAAAAGCAGGGGGAAGAGCAGAAGAGCTCCCAAGTTAAAACCAGTAAGAAATATACATAAGTCAGAGGGTTTTGGTGCACCAGGGACACCGCTCAAGAGGTTCCATGTTTCCAGGGAATACGATCATGCAAAAGCAACTGTGAGTGAGCTCTGCATCCAAACACTGATCTCATTATTGGTGAGAGGCAATTTCTTCCAGTAGTCACTTTATCCCATGATGCTGCTACACACCTGGGACAACTTAGCCTATTACAGCTATCATTAGAAATGTATCCTTAGAGCACTATGAAAATAGATGAGATCGCTCTATTTCTAACTTCATTCCAGACAAAGAACAAACAACAAAATCCAAATCATGTGAACGTCATAAGAAGTCAATTTTGAGCATCCAGAAGAAATACAAAGTGAACATGTACCTGGAAAGCGAGCCATCTGAAACAGCAATGAAGTGATTCTCAGTACCTTGTAGCTCCAGAAACTCTGGTTGAACATTAGAGTTCAGTGAAAACCGCTCAATAACCAGTTCCAGCTACAGCACCCTGTAACTATAGGATGGCATCAATAATACGTTAGTAGCTTTTAAGCTCAACATCTCAGCAAAACTACACCCCTGACTGAATTTAACAGAATTAAGGTATTTTACATTGTAACAATTGTTTCTTTAGGTTGCACACACTAAATCAAGATTGTACAACCCCACTGTCTGTTTTATATTACCGCATTAGTGGATCTACAACTTTGTGTTTGTGGAAAACGAGTCATGTAATCCCAGGATACGTCAACAACAATGAAAAAAAGGCATTTAATGATGTTGAAGAACTCAGATGAAAGACTTTCAGCTTCTTCGCAGCCTGAAGAATTGATGTTTTGGGCATTGTGCAGCTGTTTTCCATCCACTTTGTCCTGCAAAGCAGCTGAAATGCAGAGTCTTTGAAGTATCCTCTGAATTTGTTCAGCTAACAGAAGGATACATTAACACAAGAGTTCTTCCTCACACAGTCGTCTTATCGTGAGGGTATTGCACTAAGCCACCAACTTGCCAAATCTAAGAATGTCAAGGGACAAAACGTTTCCACCAAATGACAGTACATGAAATCACTTGGCTGGCTGTCATGTAAGAGATGCAACAGCAGCACAGAAATTTCACTTTGCTCCTCCTCAGTACAGCCTTTTGGTTGTCTTGTCTTCATGCTGTTATTTTTATTCAGTGTTAGCTATCAACTCTCTCTTTAAATACTCAGGTCAATTTGCAGAAACAGCATGAAACATTTCCACGCTCTTAGCTCCTATATGATTTCGGAGCTGGAAACGGCAGTAAAGGGAAAATGTTTCTAGATATTGCTTAAAAACAAATTGCATGGTTTTGTTTTTGGTAGGAGTGCATACAGTTTTTAAAAAGCACCATTAGAAAGTTGATGCAAACTTTTTTCTAAAAGCAAATAGCAACTTCTGGAAAAATAAAAAATAGACCACTTTCCACATCCAGCCAGCACAAGTCCAACGTGTAATGGTCAAGCAAAGCTATACCTGGATGGGTGCAGGGGGAGGGGACGGAGGGAATGATTTAACAAAATAGTGGGGAACAACAACAAAGAGTTCCTCAGAATGATGCGTTATCTCATGTTCAACAGGTATCGATAGGTGATGACGGAACTTTTCACTTGTTTAAGTATACTGTAATATTATTATTAACTCAGCAGAGACAGTTTTGTTACTGTGATTTCAATTGATAGGCAGAAATGCACAGTATCAGAGATTGGCACTTGCAGTGCTAAATATGGTTGTATTCGTGCAAAGACAAAGAAGTATTCAAATGAGGCATGCACAGGTTTAAGCATGATTTTTAACTGGTTGCATGCATCTACCAGTAAGGTTTGCACTACTGCAAGCAAACCAGGATATAACTGAGAACGCTACGTCTGTTTTTTTAATCACAAAAATGTAATTTCCATTAAAAGCAGCTGCAACTTTTATTTTATAGATGAAAAATGAAGCCCTCCCATCACACACACACACACACACACACACACAGAAAACGCAAGATAGTTGTAACCATTCAGGTGAGTGATACGGTGGGCAAACCTCCAGGATAGTCATCTCATTACATTACATCTCATTCAACGCAAGTAATTCCACTCAAGTACTACAGTCTGTTTAGTTAAAATCTATACGCACACACATGTGCACACATACACACACTCTATATGCATCGTTTCAGGTCACTTTACCACATAATTAAAAATAAAGGTAATGAAAACGTTATCGCATTGATACTCTTAACAGCAACAGAGGTCTGAGGCACTCAGGGAAAAGACGACATTTTCTGGCAAGTTTGGTATTCGGTAGTACGCGTAGTGAGTCCAGTTCTATGAAGCACTAACCCCTTTCCCCCATTCAAATTCTGCAGTGCCAAGGGGAGCCAAGGGCATGCAGTACCTCATAAGGTTAGGTCTAATGCGGCAACAGATTCAACAGGCACCTCGTAAAAGGTGTGTTTTATGCCCATGATTGCATGATTTAATATGTCTGCATTGGTTCAACTATTTCCTGTGTTACAGTGGTGTAAGACCTGAAGTCTGCAATGGAGTCCAAAATAATTTTCATTACAGTTCAGGGGAAAAAAAAAAAAAAAAGACTCCCTCAGCAGACACAGCAAAGATTTTTGGAAAGGAAGTGGGCAGGGGAAAAAGAAGGATGGGGAGAAGACAGAGGCTTAATCAGTCCACAGTCCTTAAGGTGACAGTTTCCAGCTTGGCATGACACATTAATAGAAAAGAAAGTGGTGTATATACTAACGTTGCTTACCCTATACCCAATCTGAGGGAAACGATCAGTGTTCACAGCTGTCCCTCTAAGACTTTTCAAAAGCATGAAACAACTCACTCAACTGTTCGAGGAAAATACCTTAACTGTTTGAAAATTACAAAAAAAAAAAAATTGAAGATGCTTCCTCTTCTCACACAGACTTTTTCTGAGATATATACGTATCTCATTATTGGATTGCAAATCCAATCTCCCACAGCTATAGTGGAGGTACCTTTAGAAAACGCCCCACAGTTAACTCACACAGGGATCCCAGGAAGTGTGGGGGGTTTTTTGGTTCTTGTTTCATTCCTTACTCTATTCAAGTCAGATAGCAGTTTCACTGAGCTTTCTGAGCAGGAGACTGCCAAACACCGCTCTGCAGAGAAGCGGCTTGTTCCAGGGAGCTGCACTTAAGACCGAATTTAGTAATTCTCCCAGTAGGGAATCGGTACTATCAATCCCCAGCAAGAGAAATAAGTCCCGCCATTAACCCAGTGTGTCACCAACAGTCACAATTATAACAGAGGCAATCAGCAGAGAAATGGGACAGAATGAAAGGTAAGGGTAGACTATTCTTGGCAAAATGCATGTCTTTTTCCTTCTCCCCCCCCCCCCACTCTTCTCACCTGAAAAACAAGCCCCAGCCCATTACAACAGTATCTGCAGAAGCAGGAGCAGGTCTTTGGAACTAGAAACGCTTAAAACTCAGGTGCCACTCACAAACCAAGAGAGACAGGGCACACTGAAGTAGTGAAAAAAACCTGGATCCCAAAATATCAAGTCCCCGTGGGAAAGGTAACCCACACTTTTCTAGCTAGTATCATGGCAGCAAACAGAAGCAACTGCAGATCTAATTGGAAGAAAGATGCTAAAGAAGTAATTGAAGACAAAAGAAAAATATAGTACGAGTGTGGTAGGTAGGAGGAAAGCAGAAAATGTTTTAAATTCTTCTCTGCTTTTCCAGACAGTGGGTCAGGTTCTTCAAGATATTCCTCTCTTATCTACAGTCAGTGAGAACAAAATAAATGATGAAATCCTCCTCTATTCTGTACTCTTAATAAAATGCATAGTACAGAGACAAAAAAAAATATATAAATCTTTCAGATCCACCCACTCAGTTTAGACTATCACTGGGACATGAAATGTGGACGAATGCTATCCAGCCGCCGGGTTAAGATCTCACAGCCTGTATCGGTGACCAGAAGAGTGTGTTCAAACTGGGCAGATCGCTTTCCGTCTCTTGTTACCGCAGTCCAACCATCAGGCCATGTTTCATCTTGCCAACCACCTAAAAATATAAAAACAGTCAAAAAGTCATCATTTAAGTATGAGATACCAGTTCTCTACAGAGAACTCTCTAGGAAAGACTACACAGAATGAGTTCAGTTTATCACTTTTTGGAATGTCAGTGGCTCACCTTCACAGATCATTGGTTCGATTGTAAATACATGACCTGGCTTCATTACTCCAACTGCCTTATTTTCTGCAATAAAATTAACAAGTTAGAAAAAGCAATCCTATTTTAGGAAATGAATGAACCCTTCTCCTAGGGGAATACAGCACGATTATGTAAAGTCAGAAAAGCCCTTCAGAGAACGCCCAATCACACTTGTCCATTAGCCTGCTTTCCTCCATGTTAAGATTTCTGTTACTTTTTTCCTCCTCCCCCTCCTCCAACATTGTAAAACGTATTCAGGGAGTGTGAAGTTGATTGCTGTCTTCCTCTAGAGTTCGATCCCAGTTCTATAAAAACACTGAACAAGTGTAATATAAGAATTCCTGCAGACTTCTATTATGAAAAACATCAATAGAAATAAGACATATTTAAGATATTCAGAGAAGCTTGAAAACTTAATTACTTCTTAATTGGGTTTCACTGAACCATTAACTCCAATAAATGGTCAAAATAGGCTAGAGGCCAAGTAATCCCATGTTTCAATACGCCAGAGATCTTCCCATGTCGTTACTCTGGAATACTAAAGGTGTCACATTGCTATGAGGATGAAAATGCTCTATTTCTTTAGTTAACACATAGAGGTAGAGAATTTTTGATGTCATATACCAAAAATGTTTATGTGGAGGCACGTGAGCTGATGTATAGCATGTTCGACTAAGAAAGGCTGTGGCCCTTTTCACCTAACCTGTTTCACCCTCTCGAACAGTGCTACAGCTTAGATCCGACTTAACCTGGCACGTGAGAGCAGCAACAAACGGCAGTGCTGCATGGGGACCGCTAGCTCCCAGCTACTTTGACACTATGGACAACTTGCATCAATTCTGAAATACAGATTCACCACCCCTCAGTTTACTCTTATGGTGTAAATCTATTGTCTAAATTGCCTACATGCTTTAAAGATCTCAAATATCAAGCTGGCACAGCAGCAACCAGAACGCTTTTCTTATACTTGAAGGGAATTGCTTCTATCCTCATCATCGTCTGCTGGTATTTTATGGTCTCAGCGCTTACATCTAAGTTTTCAATATCTGCACAAGTCCTGTCCTCTTTTCCTATAATTTTCATTCAGTTTTGTTAAATCGTTTAAAGGCTTATAAAATGAGCTTTTTCCCTTTTAAAATTATTTCATATTTGGCCAGAAAGAAGCTTTTGCATTTTTTTTTTCCCCCAAGAGGCTTTAACTCCCTTAAATCTTTCTACTTTGCCTTTGTTGCCAAGCTGTGTTAAAATAAAATAGCACCTTCCTCCTCAGGAATAGCTGTCTTGGCTCAATCCAAAAAAGGGCTCAAAGTTCCCAACAGCCAGGAAAGATAAAAATTCCCTTTTTCTCCGACTCCATTTTGACTGGTACAAAACACCTCCATCTCCGCAGAGTACACATTCTCTTCATTTTACACATCAAAAAAAAAAAAAAAAAACTAAGAATCGATACCCTTCCACCCTGTGAGTAATAGATTTTTGTCCCTTTGCTGAAAAAAATCATTTACAAAAAAATCAGTGACCAGATGAAAAGTCAGGGATTGCTACATCATCATCTACAACTATAACCGGTGTTAAAACTTGGTAGGAGATGGGAAGATGGAGGCATCTGTAAGCTCTGAGGAAAGAAAGGTCCTCTCAGGGGAGCTTCTCAGCTAAAATGGGTTTGAATTGTTTATCACTGCTGTACAGAATTTCTTCTCTCCTTAGTTATCTGACCATCTTTAAGCTTCTGTCCTTTCCCTCCAAGGATGCCTTCTCTTAGTCCAGCTGCCAAAAAAATGTTGTGGGAACAGTGCCATTTCCCACAGCTAAAGCTGAGATCCAGGGTGCCCCTCATCTGCCACACACTGCAAAGAAACTTCTAGGAATGCGAGATCATGCCATTCAAATGGAGAAAAGTAAAACATAACAGGATCCAGATTCAGGCACGACACCTATCTATACCATTTGAAGCAATATTTACATCTGGGAATAGCATTCAGGGGTTGCTTAGACCTTCTGCGAACGAACAGAAATATGTTCCTATTCCAGACAAGAATGCCTAATGGGCTAGTTGGGAATTCATGCAAACAAGTCAAGCACCAAGCCAGTACAGGTGAGAGCTAACTTTTAGTGGAGGAACAGACTGTCTCAGCATACAACAGATGCAGCTAATTTTCGTTCATAAAGAACTCTATGATCCAGAATATAAAAGAATGTGTGTGTATTCCACAAGCGCAAAAAACGCTAACTTGATGGCTGTCAGGCAACGCGTTACTTTATTAGAATATGAGCAAAAAGTAGATTGGGTATGTTTATTGCAAACCATGTATTGGCTAAAAGACAACACAAAGCAAATACTCACTGGCATAATGTGGCACATTAGGGGCTGTATGGAAAAGTTTATGGATTCCATGCCCGCAGTAGCTCCGAACCACTGAAAATCCATTTGCTTGAGCATGTTTCTGAATAATGTTTCCGAGTTCTCTATACCGAACACCAGGTTTTACTGCAAAATTAAATGAACATAGATGGATACGAATTTATACAGCTTTCTTTCACCATACCCAACCATCCTGCACCATTCAGGCAAACAGCATCTCTGTAACAACGCTGTAACACTCCTGGCTTGTACATCTATCTGTTCTCACATGCAACACCCTCTCTCCACCATGATCTCTTAATCCACCAAGTACAGAAGTGAGTCTGAGGAAGAGGGAGGAAACAGCCTCAGAGAAAAGAAAAAAAAGAGAGAGAGGGAAACTCTTCCTTTATGAAAACACCTCTTTTTTTCCTCTCATGGATACGAGTGCTCATATATTCAAAGGATGCTGAAGTTTGAAGTTAAAGACAACAAAGATGTTCAAAGCACCTGGCAGCATCTCATAACTAGAGTTCCAGAGTTGCTTTTGACAAACCTATGTACTAAGTTTTAATATGCACTTCTCTCTCCACTACTATGTGAAAAGCCCACACAAATTAATAGGAAAAATGATTACACATGAAGGATGCAAAAGGGGAAAAAAGACAAAATGGGTGCCTCTAATCTTAGGCAAGATTGTTAGGTACAAAGCTACTGCAAATAAGAAGGTTCATACGCAGGACTGACTTTTTTGACAGTCCTCTTAGGAAACCCTAAAAGTTAAAACAGTTAGATGAAAATGGTGTGAAAAATTCACTTAGACAAGGGGGTAAGAAAACCATAAAAGCAACATTACCTCATACATCAAACAATGAAGCTACATAACAAAAGCAACCCTGAGCCACTAAAAAGAAAATCTTGAGTGCTATTTCAGGACCATTTATTACTCCCTGCATATATGCTGTTCCTTTAGGAGCAAAACGTGTGGTTAAATGAAGCTACTTTAAGCATGGTAAGTGTGAACAGCGAGGACAGCAAAAAGCTTTCATGAAACAAGCCATTTAGTTTACTTCTTTGCTAACATAAACAGCTGTAAGTTAAGCCAGTAAGCTGAATCTACATAAAATCAAAAGGAATTTAGCCTATTACTAGAATATACATGCTTTTCCCTAAACACCAGACAGACATGGTAGAGAAGAAAGGAAAAATTAATCTATTTGTGTTATGCTAAGTGGTTGTGAGGTAATGCAGATCATCTCCTTCAGGCTTCACAATACCAAGCAACTCATTTCAATGCACCAGGGAGCCCCCTGCTTCTCTTTCTCTCACATCACTCTCAGAGTAAGCGCTCTGCTGGTCAAAAGCCCAGAATTTAAGATGGTGTAAACAGGGAAGAGATGACACCCTGTAACAGCTGAGAAACTTGCAGCTGTAATTCTTATTATCAAGGAATGTCTAAAACCCAATAAAAACTGTTACAACATCCAAAAAATTGCAGTTAAAAGTTACTAAGAGTTTAAATCTCATTATAATGAGCAAAAAGATGAGTTACTGTTATAGTTTACATAGCTAAAGCAGGATTTTAAAGATAAGAGATGAATATATATATACATATATATATACACACACACACATATATATATAGCAAATCTGCTATAAAAATAAAGCACAGGAACAAAGATAAACATTACTTTGATTTAGCTCTGAAAGACAAAGTGCTCATTTCAGAATAGTAAGCCTGTGTAAACAGGTAATCTATCTTCTTCACAGCTCAGCCCTACGGTACTTTCTTGATCACACAACAGGTACTCAGCATATCATTTACATGGATTTCTGCCTCAGTGAAGCTGTCCTGAGTTATATCTAAGCAACGTAATTAAAGTCTCGCAGGTGCTAAAGGAGATGGATCCGTCTTCCCTGGCACGTTCCCACAAAATCAAGAGCTCCTGATGAGAGCTCTTGAAGAGCTTTATGAAATAATCGTCAAGTTGCGGGAGAGGGGGAGAATTGCATTTTCAAGTCTTCAAACAGTGTTTTGAATTACTGGTTCATTTAACAATACCGTTCAAATCATAAAAGTAGCAAGCCCTTTTGGTTCCAATACACACTTTGTTTTTCACATTCTATAAACAGTTCAGATTCGGGACTGTCTTATTTCGCTTACTACTGGTCCAACCAGCTGTTTCCACTTAAATATCATCATATGTGGATCACCTCAGCATCAATTACATTTTCGTTTTGAACATCTGTTTAAAATAAGAGTTCAAACCACCACCCACAAAACTGTAGCGTTTGAAGAATCGCTGTACTGTTTTATACATCACCTACTAGCGACACACGGTAAGAATAGTTCTACAACAGAAGTCATTCCCAGGTAACAGCAAATAGAAGCAATTACGTTTGTAATAGCAATACGTTTGAGAACCAAAACCACAACACTTCAAGCCTCAGCAAAAGGTTTTACCTGCATCGATGGCTTGCATTAGGCACTCATAAGTTGTTTGGACAAGCCTCCTTGCACCCTCATCAACTTCTCCAACATAAAACGTCTCGTTCAGATCTCCATGGTAGCCATTACGATAGACAGTAATATCCACTGCAAAGAAGACCAGACACACCATAATACTACCACTCTTTTTCTCACTTTTGTCTCTTGATTTGTATGAAGGACAATAACAAAAACATGTAAAAATGTAGTATTACAATTCTGAAGTTATGAAACTACTTTGGAAGAATTCCAGACGTGAAAGCTCGTCCAGCAGTTATCAATTCCATAAAATCTACAGGATAAGTGTTAGAGAATTAGTATATAAGACAGTGCTTTCCTGTTCAATGGCTTGATTAAAAACACCGATGGAACATAGCCATGGCAAGCTCACTGCTTATAATTGGTTTCAGAGTAAATACAAAAACAGGGCAGGGAAGTTCTTTGCTCCATGGTGATTTACCTGGTCAAACTATGTCCTTAGAATCAACTCCAGCACCAACAGAGAGAAATTAAAGTCAAGTCTCTAGGTAATCAAGTTTTAACCCTTCTTTTAGCTTCAGCAATTTTTCTATATGTTTAGAATAGTAAGTCACATCTCTGCAAAAATCGGAACATCAAACCCATTGTTTACAGCCCAAAAATGCAGCGTCTCTTACTGATCATCAACCACACAGCACCTTTCCTACGTTATTCCTGACTAACAAAAACATGCCAAATAAATTTGAAAGAAAAAAGTTATAAAATATTTTAAAAGCTCTGAATCAGAAAAACAAGAATAAAAAGGGCATGCTTCAACAACCCAGATTTATGAAAGCATGTAATTAGAGTTTAGAATTATGCTGCAGCAGAACTCTAACTTATTTGCTGTGTGTGTAAAGTTGGTTGGTGTACAAAAGCACCACCTTGAGGTTAAAAAAAAAAAAAAAAAAAAAAAAAAAAAAAAGGTTACTTTGACCAAATGGCTACACATGCACTACAGCTCTGAGCTACCAGCCAGGCAAAACCTGACACAGGAAGGGACAGCAATCACGGGGCTCACTCTAGAAAGGCTGGTACCCACAGCACTGAGCTGTAGACACTAGCTATTACTATCTGTTAATATATAGGAAACGCCCAGCAATCTTAGAGGATCTCAATTTGCTTCTAGGGCTAGGCCGCACTCTGCGAATTCTTGAGTATATTTTTAAGGATAAAAGTAAAGAAAGCCCATGTGATAAACTAAAGGTACAAATGCTTATACAAAATAGGTGTTGCTATTTTTTTTACTGTGAAACTAAGTTTGAAAAAAAAAAAAAAAAAAAGAGAAAACAAAACTGTCAAGTAATTTAGACAGGTATTCTTTACTGTCCAAAAAGGCTTAGGTACTTTGAGTACGTAAGCAAAAAACAGTAGGCACCATCAGACTGTAAGATTCTCAAAAAAAAAAAAAAGGATATGCTATTTAATATGCCTCTATAAAATGCCTCATCATTAGAATTCTTTACAGTCATCACAACTGTAGTAGCAACTTAAGGAATTAAAGCAATCTTACTAAGAATTCACATAGAACTAATCCAGATGAGTAATTTTGGCAACATTAAAAACATTCAAAACACTGCCTTTTTTATTCCATATTTCTATAGAGTCTAGAACAACTGGAATCTAGCCCACAAATGGAATACTCAGGCACTATGGTAATACACAGACTAGGACGGAAGAATTATAAAGCTATTAAAATAGACCAAACTTCTGCAATTATTTTAAATATATAAAGAAAAGATGTTAATTAATTAATAAATGAGAACAAAAGGCTCTTAAAAAGCCACTCCAGTTGTGTTGCCTGCTACTGAAACCTTACCTTACTGAATGGTCTAAGTGGACAGAAAGTAGAAACGTTGAAGGTTGATCTTCTCAACACTTACCATTAACAATATCTCCTTCCTGCAATGGCCTCCTATCAGGAATTCCATGACAGATCACTTCATTCACTGATGTACAGCATGACTTGGGGAAATTATAATAATTCAGAGGGGAAGGATAGCAATTCCTTGCAATACAAGCCTATATCAGATTTAAAAGAATACAGTTTATATTAGCAAACTTTGTACAAAGAAAAAGCATAAGCACAACAGCTTTACAATAAGAACGGTATTTTGAAAAGCAGGGACTCCTGAAAGTAAGTTTCTTCAGGCACGCCTCCTCTTTTCAGCATTATGGCATTTTGTAATGCTTTGCACTTCATATCAGTTTCGCAAGAAGAAAATAAAGTTAGTTTAATGCTTTTTACTACACGTTGTTATGTTGAACTATTGATGCTGAAATATTCAGGTTCAAAATAATGCATGGAAATACATACCTGATTTAAAAAACAGCCATTTTCAACAAGTGCTTTTAAGCACCTATTCTAAAACTTTAAATAACTGCTACAGGAGACCAGCTAGACAAAACCATATTTGGCACCACTCTCTTATCCTTGACTTTAAAAACATAACCTCTTTCCTTTGCTTTCCTCTAATAATTCTTTCTGGGATTTCTGCAAAACTGATACATACATTTTAGATATACACACATATACAAGCACATTAAGTGGCATACTGAGCAATGCTGGAAAAATAATATCGTTTTAACATTTTTTATATTTAAAAAATAATACTATTTTAAAACTGCTAAATATCAATTAGGGATATCAGTCAATACCAGTTATCTTCTGTGCAAACATTTACAAAAACTGCTTTTTCCTGAGGGGGGAAACACTACCATTTTAACTGCTAGCTTCTTATATTAGACATCATGCACATAAGCGCATAATTTAGTGCTTATGTGTTTAATACAGTTTAGCATGAACTTCAGGTCTAATCAAACCAGAGTAAGCTCCTTATAACCTTGGCTTAATAGTTACACACACAGAGATAAGAAAGCAGCAATCAGAAAGCTCTCCCAACAAGTTTATTTACACCAGTGGCCTAAAAGATCCTCGCATTCTCCACAATGCACACAGGTATCCTGTCTCAAAATAAATGCACATATCTTAGAGGTAACAAAAAAAAAAAAAATTACACAATTGAAGCACCTATGAAGCAAAATACTTCATCACACATTTCAAATGCTTTGTTTTGGACTGTGGCCTTAGTTTGCCTGACTGCACCAAAAACTTATCCCAACGTGAAGGAAGCTGTCAGCTCCTTTTGACTCTATTTGTGGACTTCACAAAAGAAACAATCCTCTCCCTACTCTCTCGGATTCCCCAGGTCTGATTCCTGATCATAAGGAATTAAACTTTCTCCTCTGCCTTCCTCCTCCTTATCTTAACCAAAGGATGGAGCACAAAAAGTCGCTGGCCTACATATGGCGCTCTGTATACAGCAGCATCTGTGGACCTCAGAAGGTCTAGAGGAAAGAAAAAGATGTGATGTTAACAGAGAAAACAGATGAAGGAACTTGGAGGGAAAACCTGAAACTGAAAATTAGGGAAGGAGCTGACATGGAGGGAGCCCCTGGCGTTCCTAACCTGGGATTCATTTTTGAATTTAATGTTGTGCTACAATAGGTTTCTCACATCTGTGCTACCTAGTAGCTTCAAACTGGGAACCTGATAGTTCAGAATAAAGAAAAGGAATGCACACACAACCAAAACCACACAACAACCATAGCAAAACAAAAAGGGCACCTATTAGAACCAAAAGAACAATAAAATAACCTTACTAAGTGCACAGCATGATCAATTTCTTCAGTAGTTACACCTGCTTTCACCATCATGGCAGCAACATCCAATACTTCTCTAGCAAGCTGCAAATGAAGAAACAACAACAAAACACACTCATTTAAAATGAGACCAGGGCTAATCCTTGGAAAGTTAGCAATGCATTTGCTCGAGCTATATTGAGACAACTGGAAAAGCTGGGTAGGCTGACACTTTTAAAAGACTTTGAGATGTCTACAGTCTATATTAGTAAGGCACCTCAGGGACACTTAAAAACATCCCTTTCTATTAGCATTTGGACCACAAATCCCTTGAATATTGGAAACATAAAACAGACTACCTACATACATTTCAAAGCATGACTTTATGTACCAGGAAAGGATCACAGCAGAATAGTTCTTATTCAGGAACCTGAAATAAGATTTTTAAAGAATAAAGGCATTTTGTAATGAAAAACGAAACCCCCTTACCCTACACACTACTCGCATCCCTTCTATATCCTCAGATGAGAGGATTTTTATTTGAGAGGTTCCTTTTAAAGCCTGTTCTGATTCAGACATTCCTGAAAATAAAGAAATAAAAAAATGAAAACAAGAAAAAAAAGAAAAAAAGTCATATAGAGGAGCATTTGCTACACAGGTCCAATGCAATCAACTTCCTTAGCTTCCCAATGGTAGTAAAAGTATGCTTCTTCTCATCACAGACTAAAATAATGAACCCATCAGTCATAGCATTATCATCATCCACGTTAATTTGAATTCATAAGCCTTCCACAACATTTCAATGCCCAGAATTGTTCAGGATGCCCGTCCACTTACTGAATACAACCATTAAGCCCAGTCAGTCATAAGCGCTCTCAACGCTCAGAAGTAGTTTGATTGTATTCTCAAACGTGCTGTCACAAACTGGTAAAATCACTATAGATTTTTAGAGAACGAAGGCCATTCCCATAGCTGAACGACCCCCTAAAAACCAGCATTGCGTTGTTTAAATATTTACATTCTGCAAACAGTAACTAAAGATCTGCTGAAGTTTTAAGAATAATTCTAACAGACTTAACAGCTTCTCGGGCAAATGCAGGGTACCAAGATCAATGTGAAAGAGGGGAAACATCAAAATAAACCAATAAGCAAGGAGTTTTCAAAGTATTTTCTCCGAGCCTAGAAATAGCTGGAACTCATTTATCAGTTTGCTTTTGGGGGTAGCTTACCGGGGTTTTGTTCATTTTGGAGGAGAGGGAGGTTATTTTATAACACATTTCCAACAGACAGAGTGATATCACTGAGAATGGCTTTAAAGAATTCATATGCGTCAGTTGCCTTTTGTGATAGGCGAGTCCTACCTCTGTGGCTTACTTGATAACAGGCTACAAACCTTTCTTTTTTGTCCTCCAAAGGTGTATAGGGAAGAGAAGACAACTCATTACAAATTCTGGACTTCTATGAAATAATTGTTACCATATTTCTGAAAAGTCAGTAAGTTAAGGTAAGGGAAGAAGAGGCCCAAATGAGAAGACTAGATAGAAGAGATTCCCTTTTCCAGCATCTCCTTGACACTTTAAAGGCTTCTTCAATTAAAGGAACACACACACACAGAGGTAACACACTGAATTGTGGTTTGTTTCAAGTTACCTAGTGGGTGATCAGCATAATCCGGTCTCTGAATATAACTTGGCACAGGCCTTGTTGGTGTCTAAATAAATCATAGTCAAAGCTGGTTAGATCACAAGAGTACTTATTACAGTCATGAAAACAGAGACCTATGCAGCAAAATTAAATACAGTGAAACATGGCTAATTCCACTTAGAGAAAGTTGCAAAGTATGCCAAAACCACCTGCCATTAGCATTTCTCAGCAAAGATTCTAACGCTTTATTCTTTTTATACTATGCAACCTCTAATAGCCAACTTAACAGCTTCGTAAAACCAATTCTATTTGTCAAATAAACAAAATCGCTTTTGTAATGTATTATCCCTGACATCTTGTAGTGTTTATTCTGATACTTTCCAGACTGTAAATGCTCTGGTTCCAGACGCATCCTCCCTTCCTTTGGTTATCGGTATGCATTAGTGAGATTGTTGTTTTTAATTATCACTCTATTTCTTAGCACTTTTTCTTACAGTTTCATATACACCAATCCTACAGCAGCTGGAAGACAAAAAAGCCAGTGTTCAGCAACAGCACTGTTAACTATATGGCCAGTGAAATATCCAAAACACCCTTTTCTCCAGTGCTACCAATAAGCACATATGGTTTAAGGCACTGTGAATCTACTAACTCAACCTGTAACAGATGGAGAAGACTATGGAGAGGATGCTACAGTGACTGCATCTCTAGCACTCTAGCACAGACCAATGAGGAAAAAAGAGACACGGGAAAATAAAATACCATTTATCCTGTTAAAACTTTGGCTTATTCCATGCACAAACTTGCATCACTTTAAAATACAGCTACAGGGAGGGCCTTTTCTAAATTCACCTTTCACAGCTGAAGATCTTAGTGACCACAATTACTATTCACCAATCCAGTGTTAGATGTTGCTGTATTTGCTGTTCTTTCAGTAGGGCTGTTCACCAGTCTATTCACCAGGTTATTTCAAATCACTTATGCAATGTTCTATTAAACCATTTATTTAAATGCTAAATTAATCCATCTGAGTTTTTCTGAAGCAGACAGTGCCATTATTGGTGGGAACAGTAAACAGCTAGAAGATAACATCTTAGCTAGCAGCAGGATTTTGCAAAACGAACGTCAGAAGATACAGCGAAAATATATGAGATGGAACCTATTAGCGATACGTATTCCCTCATGGGCACTTCAGTTCAAGTATAACAAGGTAGGTCAAGTTAAACCAAAGTGAGCCACAATCAGGGCACAGTCACACATCCCCTTGCCATCATGTTCAGACTGTTTAAGAAGCTTTCGTTCCTCAGCTGACAGGTGGGAGCTGACCAGGCCAGGGCTTCTTGTCCATTAGCTGCTACAGAACATATTGTGGAACCTTCTTCTCCGGTGCTGGAGCAGAGCAGCATTTGTTACTTACCAGTGGATAATGTGGCCTGAGTTTACCAGTATATCGATAACCAGACCAGGGATTTGTGTTAATGTCACCTTCCAGGGTCCAAGAGGAAACCTCACGTTTTGCTTTTTCATCTTCTGAAAAGAAAAAAAAAAATTGCAGCAGCCTACTAAAAATAAAGCGTTGCATCCAGAGAGTGACCTAGAGGTACACAAATACATGTTTAACCCTATTTGACTTTTTTTTTAACGCTACTGATAAGTAAAATTACAATTAGTAATTTTCATCTTATTTTGTCCTTAAGTTTTTCACATTCAAAAGTCACGTCCTGCCAACCCTTTCTTCACCCAGTGGCAAACCGAGCGACGTCAGGACAGCCGTACTGAAGGCCCAAAGGAAACCAAATAGCTACTGATGTCATTGTTCATATGTAGTTCTAAAACATGGCTCTGTGCTTGTTTTGATTCTTGGGGAAAAACATATTTTTACTGAAAGACTCATCATCCCTTCAATTAACAGTTTTGTGATGCAGCTGAAGGTTCCTGTTCTGTGTGATTCCTCTTAGTATTCAGAGACAGAAACGATCTAGGTGGGAAGGAGAGCATTTGACTATGATTTTCAAATGATGGAGCTTACTTTCACCCTGGTCCTGACGGGCAGAGTGAGAGTACAGCCTCTTCTGCATTTCAGAAGGCAGTATGCGTACTTTAGAAGATGGTTCTAATCTGCTGGAGGTTCTTGGCTCTCTTAACCTTGTAAAACTTTCTCCTGATGTGGTCCACTGACTGACTTCCATCACAAATACTAAATCTAACAGAGCGGCTGTTACACGGAGGATTGAAGCAAGTACATCCTGAGCAAAGGATCAACCTCTCAAAGGAAAAACGTACTTGGAGAGAAGGGGAGTAAGAAAGAGGGAAAACCCTTTAAATTGCCTATGCTACTGCCAGCTATAAACTGTGCAACGTTTATCATGGAAAAGGGGGCTTTATAGGGTTTTAGGAAAGGAGGAGGTAAATGAGTCGAGGATTTGGCTTTTGGCCATGCCACTTACTTTTTAATCCTAATTTCCTTTTCAGCGGAGCTTGAGGGGGTTGGGCTTTTCTTGGGGGGAGGGGGGCTGATTTTAAACACCTGGATTATTTTTACTCCCCCTGTACCCCTTGTTTGTTGGGAGGTTTTTAACTGCGGAATCCAGTCAGAGCAGCAACATTCTAATGCAAGATTAGGATACAGGAAATAGCACACAGTTCTGCCTATCAGACACTCATTAACCAAGCGCGAGGAAATGCATTATCGCACAAGGAAGACCGCAGAGAAAGGGATAAAGGAGAATCTACCAGTTTTGCTGAACCAATGCTACCTGCTGTAACTAAAACATACAGATGTATCACCTTCAGATAAACTCAGCAAAACCCTAGCTACAATACAGCCTCCAACCAATAGCAGCATCAGTTCATAACAAAATTATTTTTTTTTCCCAAAGAGGTAAGCCCCAAGTATTCAGAACAGCTGTATTCTCCCTACCTTGCTTGTATTCAAACAAGTGTCCAATCATATAAAGACATTAAAAAAACCTTCTCCACATTGCTGCCTTTTACTGGATCAGATAGCAAAGTACTATGATGGAACAAGCCTGGCAATGACTTATTGTCATAATTTATTCTCCTTGTCCTCTACTTCACCATCCGTCTTTCTCTATTCATATACCTGGCAATTTAGCTCAAAGCAATACTTCAGACAAATGGAGATGGAAACAGAAACAGAGATTCCTGTACCATCGTCTCTGAAATTTTACATAGATCTGTGGATCACCAGGAACCGAATGCAGCCTCTGATATGCAGCATCCAGTGCCAGGTATCTTGGAAAAATCCATACCATTCTCTCACAATCATGTGTGTAAAGATAAAAAGCAAAGCGCACTACACTGTTCAACCCAAAATATTATCCCTACTCATTATTTTGAAAACTGCGTTAAGAAAAAAAAAACCAAGACTGCAGGATGATGGGGAAGAGGGGTGAATGCGCAGAAGGGAACAGATTTCAAAACAGAATATTAGAAGTGAACAAAGAATTTACTTACTTGCTTTCTTGTGTAATAATTTGTGAGTAGCCCAGCTTCCCTTAAAACATTCCTAGAATTGCAAACAAAATATATATATTTTTAAGTAGCTTCATCCTGGACAGACATACCATTCCCACAAAATAAAGGAAAAACTAATTTAAAAGAAAACTAAAATAAGGGTTTTATAACTCCCTGTAGCAACATGCAGTAAATGCTACTGTAACTGGCAGTCTTAACATTAGAAAACAGTACATTCAAGAGTTTATGAGCCAGAATAGGCAAAAAGCATAGCGAAACAGATGCGCTTAAAGTGAAATGCACTGATTTAATCTTCTCTACTAAATATTGTCTCCTTATCATTTTAATGAGTAACCAAACACCATGGTTGCTCCAGGATGGCTGAAACCCTGGGCTGTTCATTGGAACGTGAGGGTCAGAGTTCATCTTCTCTCTCTCCAGACCAAATCTCCCAGCATTGCAGTGGGCAGGGTTGGCCTCCCTTGGCTCCTAGAAGAAGCCATCTCCTCTTGCTAGTTGCATCCTTCCTGCCTCCTTCTCCAGCATAAGGAAACAACAGAGACCAATCAGCATCATCACAGGTGAACAAATGAAAGAGATCAAGGTAGAAAAAAGGGCGAGGGCTACTGAATAGAAATAGGAAATGGAGAGGAAAAAAAATGAGCAAATTGAAATTGAAAGAAAGGAAAGAGAATGTGAAGAGAAGGAGCTGATATTTTTCTCTTCTTCTTGAGCATAGAGAAGGGGGGAGGAACCAATGAATTAGTAAAGGGGGAGATGGAAATGGTTAGCAGCTAAAGAAAGACTAAGATGAGGGAAAAACAGGTGAGAAAAGGAGAGAACTGAGTAGAAAAGCTGCTGAAGAAGGCATTAAAGCAGATCCTTTGGGGGCTGCGTAGGCAATTTCTTGGTTTTGTAGCTAGATGTCTAATTTAATGGCTATGTGTACGCATAACAACTGCTGGAAAGAGGTAACAACTGCTGGAAAGAGGTAATTCCGATCATTTACAGTAACAACCGAATTTCTGAAGTAAAAAGCAGGAAGTAAACTTTTTTTCCTTTATAAGGAAAGATAATACTAATGCTGAACCATCATCATAAAACTGCTGACCAGAGTCAGCAACTGATTCAACCTAATGTATACAACACTAAACCAACCTGAGACAACAGATTTGCAGACTAAGGCCAATGTGTAACAGGCTGCTGCTGCTTCACAGGTGGTGTTGTGCAGTCTTAATTGCCAGCTCTTTTAGAGCCCTCTTCTCCCCATTTTCTCTTTAGTCTGCAACTAGTGGCTACCAACCTGTATCCACAAGACCACAGTACAGCGGTTCACAGATCAACCATATCTACTGTTTGATATTTCCCTCATTACCAAAATCAGTTATTGCTGTTGTCTTCTCCTACACCATATACCTGATTTTGCCATTTTGCTGAACTGGCACATGACAGGCCATGGAGCTACATAAGGGTTCAGGCAACAAGAAGGTTAGGAAACAACACCTTATATTACCAGAGAGAACATCTTCTTGAACAAAGAGTGGAAGGTTTCACCATCACACTTATAAAACCCACTGGCTTTTTGCTGCACTGTTACCCTCTTTCTGTTGGAAAGCTGCGGGAAAAGGAACAGGTTTTAACTGAGGCCTACTTTAAGAAAAAAAAAAAAACACACCCAAATCCCTATTTCCAGGGCACTAGTATGTTTTTAATCCCCTTCTACTTCTGAATTGAGACATGATGTGTAAACAAATAAGGATTACACAACTCGGGACTTACAGGGTCGCAAAATATATCTACCACGAGGAAACCGAGTCTGCAAATCTAGATCCACTCCTTGGGAGATGAGGAAGGGAGCGTTTGGGGAAAGACGACATCAGTTGTGGTAACTACTTGTTGTAGTTGATTCTCTCTTTCCCCGTGCAACCTGGGGATATGTTCTCCAACCCCATTCCTTTCTCTCCGAGGCCAGGAGCATTTCCTCTTTGCTGGCCCATAACCAACGCGCACGAGGCAAACAACACTGCTAGCACTATCATAACCTGAGAGCCTCCATTTTGACTTGTTATTTCCTGCAGCTGCAAGCAACATAAGAGGATCCTGCATAAGGCTGCCGTATGTCTGAGTTTTCCCAAGCATCTTTCCCAGACTTTACTTAGCCTCTATTTCCAGAGAAACAGCAGCTCAGTCAGAACTACTACAGCATAGCTTCAAACAAGCTGCTGTATACGCACACATCCCAGACGTGCAGTGTATGTACATCAGTTAACTGTAACTGAGTACACAGAGCAAGTCCAAAGCAACGATTACACATGCAGTGTACAATCAAATACCCGAGCCTTGGCCTGACACTTCTGGAAAGCACTCAAAGGATGCGTTGCACATCCATTTAAAACCCATGTATTTGGTGTAGGAACAATCACATGCTTCCTGTGGGCACTGGACTCATCAGGTACTCACAAACTCTTTTTATATTCAACGACTTACTGCACAACCACTGCATCACATGCCTGCATAGCTCTGCCTGGGCAATTCTAGACAAAAAAAATGGCAGCTGTAATCTCACAGGTTGGAGAACCACAGCTCTGGCTACAAGGCACTACCAACATACCATTGCATATCTCAAACACCCTCACCTCTTCTCTACAGCAGACTTCCTGCCAAGGCATGGAAGAAAGCCATTCTTTCTCTCCATCTGGGCCACTTTCCGGAGAAAATTCTGCTTTTCACGGAGCCTCCTCTGCTGAGCCTTCTTCTCTCAGCCTTCTGCCGAGACATTTACTTCAATCTTCCCATTACCACTCCTGCCTACAATGAATCTTCCATGGTCCTACGCCATATACAGATCAGGACGAAAAATATTTTCCATGAATAAACAAACAAAATCCAGGAAAAATATCCAAGGTGAATTTAAATATTAAAACAAAGAAACAAAAAAGTCCAATTTCTGCTAAAAAAGGAACACATGGCCTCATATGGCTGTATTTGTAAACATTAGCTGGCTTGAATGGGAAAGTACATAGGAATACTGCGAATTTCTTTTCAAGCTTTTTGGAAGACTTCCTGGATTTCATTTCAAACACCATATTATTCATTACTCTGCTTGATATTAACATCCCTACGCTTCTCGTCTAAAACATTTTTTCTTCCTACCGTATGCGTTTTTCCAATAGCCTTCAAGAAAGACTTGGTGACACTGAACAGGACTGTACAAGACAACCCTGGTGACTTGTCAGATAACTTCAAGGGTGCCCAAAGTCTCCCAGGAGTAGAACAAAATTACATTGCAAACTTCTGTATATAGCACAAACATATGCAAAGTAGCTTTAAAAAAAGCTACACAAGTACAGGAAGCTATGCAGGCCTCGCAACACAGAATTCAAGACATGCTCATTCATCCTGTTTCTGAACTGCTTTTGCAAGGTGGCAGTTCATTTAAAGTTAGCTATGCCAATTCTCTATTAATGATTTTCAGCCTCAGGGCTGCCCCTCTCTCTTCTTCAGGCTCCTCTTCACCCTTGGGTACTGCTGCTTTACACAACCTGGTATTTGGCACTGTAAATTTACCTGTTGGCAGGTATGCAAAAACTGCCTAAATCCTGGCACTGGACAGCTATCGAGAACTCCGAACTCATCTCTAACCTCTGCAGAGTTCCCCCTCTTCACCCACTGTACTCACTGTTTTGAGCCACTGAGCGGAATTTCCAAAAATACCTGTTCTACTGCAAAAAAGACAGCTGGAATTGAGACCGTGTGGACAGACTGGCTGTCTCGGCACGCCGAGAGACTCAGCACGTGTCTCTCGGCACGTCATTATATTGCAAATTGTAATAGTTAGGCAAAAATCTGGGAAACTAATAGTACGCTCCATTAAGAAAAATGTATTTTAAAAAATGCTCAAAACATTTTTAAAAGTCCTTTGCAATGTAAAATTGTTTTGATTCGTACAATTGAATTCGTACAATTGTGTGATTTTGCTTCATGAGAACTAGTTTTTGCCTAACCACTGCTAGGGTAAGCTTTTTTCCTTTTCTGTTTGCATAAGTGTGGCATCAGCTTAAGAAAAATATCAGTGTTATCAGTAATGTACGTTTAACACAATATAGCTTAACGTTACATTTTACCCATAAATACAAGTGTCTTGAGGAATGCAATTGTTAATATATTAGATGTTAAAATTATATTGTTGCCTTTCTTAGCATATTGAGCCCTATTCTTCTAGGTGTTGTACATGCCTATAGAGACAGTCTCTGACCTAAAAAACTGAATTCACAAACTAGCCTAAGTGGTGTATTTGACTAGCTAATTTTTTCAGATGAGGAGGAATACAGGTTTGCAGATTCAAATTCAAGGGAAGCACCTACATGCAACACCTTGGGATCAGCAACATTTGCTTTCTCATTCATCTAAAGCCTGAGCTCACCCAGAGACTCCTATATCCCACATGACAGAGTACTTCAGCTCTTCCATTAAACAAGAGGTATATTTTGCAACCCTTCAGTCAGACTTGCAGAGCTATACCAGGGACTTGTGACGTATCAGTGAAGATGTGCCTCCCAGAAAGGGGTAAACCAGCATACAAAGGCACTGGGAAAATCCAAGCAGCACTTCTTTCCCACCATTGGGATTTATAAAGTCATACCCCACCTCAAATGTAAGGAGCCCAGTTGATGGGTATCCACCATTGCCAGAGATAAGCTGAACAGTACTGTACAGTTTAGAGTAACCATTTCCCTCCAAACACCAAGAACACACCTCTTCCCATTGCTCACATGCAGCAGCTTCACTGCGTCACAGTCCTCACTCTTGACTCTACATAGATCGCTTGATACACCCAGGCCCCTTTGGGATTGATAACACAAGGGCATACAAAGCAGGAAGGGGCTACTGTTCTCCTTGAATAAGTTAGGGCTGATATTCTGCTAGCAATCAGCGGCCTCCAAACATCTGAGAAAAAACGCAGCACAGGCCTCTGATGTTACAATAATAAAGTCTTTCCATTATGTGGCTGGAAACGCATACTTCTGAGTTTGGCCAAGGGAATGCCCCAAAACCAGGATCCAGTCCACACCAAAGAAAATCTCAGACTATCCTGTTCAGGCTGAGACACTTGTACAGATATTATACGAATAGCGTGAGAGAGGAAGTTCTCATCAAAGCAGTACAAAATGACTAATAAAGGATCGTGAGACAGGCCTCTGTTAAAAGATTTTTAGTTAAAAGGCTCATATAAAGGTGGTATCTGGAGTTCTCAAGAACAGTTACTACTTTTCCTGTGCTTATCACTCAGCAGCTTGTAAGAGGCATATAACAAGTGCAAATTGTTTGTGTATGTAAACACATACTGTTTATGTATACTACATATAATTTACACAAAAGTAGCATGTGCTTCTATCTTGCAATAGCAAATTCATCTTAGCAACAGGAACACCACACATTGCGATGCTGAGCATCTGTATCGTTTCCACATTCAAAAGATGCAGCAAGATGTAGTAATTTGGTCTAAGCTGACACCCATGTAACACTACGGTTAAGTCTCTACAGAAGGTGCACGCTTATGAAAGCAAGACAGTGAAAGACGATAGCTGACAGTGACAATATCTGAGCTATTAGGCTAAATTAAGATGATATTGAAGGTTAATAGCTGACAGAATCTCTCAGTAGAGTACTCCCTCTCACTACATCTTTGGCTGAAGGAAAAAAAAATAATGCCGAGGTTCAACACATCACCTCAACATACCACCCCAGAGCTCCTCCAGCACTAAAAAAACATCTTTGTCCTGCTTCCATTACCCTTTCCAAACATCAGCGCTAGGCCAGAACTCAGCTGCCTTGGCCCCCGTTCCACCCATGACCCACAAGCACAACTGTAATTCAACTGCATGCAGTTTACAAGGTGCACGTCACTCAGAAATAAAACCACGTTGGCTTTATGGCTCAAAGGAATTTTAGAGGATGTCAAACCACTTCAGAGTAAACATTTTCAGGATATGTTGTCACAACATCCTCTTTTTGAGGCAGGGGAGAGGGGGAACAAATGACTAGGATAATGCCCTTTACCAGGGAAAGGAGAAACACAAATGACAAAATCCTAGGGTTATCTCCTTATCTCCTGGAACTCTCAGTCCTATACTACCTCTGTTGATTTTTCTTACTGAATTATCTACTACTATTTATAATCCAGACACATTTCTCCATATCGGTTACCCTTCTAAAGCAGTTTATTCTTCTATTTTCTCCAGTGCTAAGAATAAACAAACTGCTATAGATTTGGTTTGGGCTCTTACTGGAGTTCTGGCTGTAAGAACAAGTTACCACAGGCTTCAAGCAGAGTAGTTAACCTAGCAAGCGTGCCTGTGCAGATGCTCTTACTCCTCAAAGAAACACTTGGTAACTTGTCACTCCATGAGCAATCCTGCAGTCATCCCAAGGTGCAAGCCTACAAACAGGTAGTTTACACCACTGCATTTAATAAAGATGGTTTGATTTTACAGAGACACAATGGAAAAGTGTCTTTGCCACTTGCATGCTCCTAAAGCACAGGTGCTTTCCGACCCTGCAGCACACAGCTGCGAGGAGCTAAACTACCAGAAAATGTAATGCAACTGCTTTCCCTCCATTAAAAGGAACCCACAAAAATCCCAGAAATACCTCATTAAAGAACCAAGACCAGCTTAACGGAAGGTGTGGAAACACGCATCCTTGGAGGGAGGGAATAGGACAAGACCATTCCTTCAGGTGATGGCCAGCTACAACGCAGGCTGTGCTGTGGGGGTGGAATAACATCCTAGGTCCACCCACTAGTTTATTGCAGTTATTCGTGTGCTTCACCATGCCACAATGGAAAGAAAACCTTTTAAATTCAAGTCACTGCAGCTCTGCCTTTGGACGTCCACAGACAAAATGAACCAGAGTGTTAAACGCTCTCCAGCGAGGAGATAACTTTGGAGAAGTTTCACAAAGCATTCCAGTACTGCCAGCTGAAACCTGCTGGAAGTTCAGACAAAGTTTCCTGGCTTTTAAGACTCCTCTGCTCAGTGATAAGCCTGTCACGTGCTTGTGCTTGAACAGATGGCCAGGTTGTCAGTGGCACCTCAGCTGCCCTCCTGACAGTACTTGGTGCTCAGAGAGGCCAGCAGAGCACTGCTCCTCCATCCCCAGCTCCTCCATCGCACACGCCACACGCAGAGGGCTGGTACCTAGGGGCAGCCCTGCCAGGGGCCCTGGAGAGGGCCCAAGGAGGGGGCTGAAGGCCTTCATTGCAGGCTGAACACAGGACTATTCTCTCAGCACGTGCCTCGACACAAGATTTTTTTTGTGCGTGTCTTGAGAACAGGCTGCTGTTAATTTCCTTAGCTCTTCTGTAACACTCTTCATCCAAAATCCTCAAAGCACCTCTCATACGGGGAAAAACAATGCTTCCCTACTTTACTGATCAGGTCAAGGAGGAGAAACAACACGCCCAAGGTCACTCAGAACCGAGGAAACTCTCGGATTCCCAGTTCAGTGTTTTATTTTCTAGGCAGCACAGCTTTTGAAGCATGTAGTCAGTTACCCAGCAGCCTAGTTTAACAAACCAATAACTACTTCCTGTAAATCCCCCTCCATCTTGCAACAGTAGCTGATATTCCAAAAGAATTTAACCTAATAGAGAATAAAAAATCCCTTCATCCTATATAAATTTAGCTGTGTTGGGAGGGGGGGAGGTGAAGGTGTTGCTAGAACATGAGAGATGTCAAAACTGGTAGTAAACGCAGGGCAAACCCCGCAAATCACCTATAAACATCACACTGGATAAAGGAACAATTTAGAGTTGCAGTCCGTCTAATTCAGCATTGACTCTCAACGTCCGGTACCAGAGGCTGCAGGGGAAAGTACCAGAAACTGAGCAGTGGGTGTATTACATGCATATGGAAAGTTTTTTCCCCTAGCCCTATGCAAGCACTCATGATCAGTTTATGTCCTGAAGCAGAAAAGAACAGTTTGCTCAATTAATAAATTTATCTAGCTGGTGTGACTGAATGCTTCTGTTAAATTTATCTACGAAACTTTAATGATTTTACCCTGATTTATAATTATGACAGTGAAGTCCACCACTGATCTTAGAATTAAATATATATTTCCTCAGCTAACAGAACTTACACGTACAAGAGGTTCAAAGTACTAGGCTATGTGTTTTACTGTGCATTTTCAAGTTATTTACAGTAACAAAAAATGACTCAAACATCAAACAGGTCTTTGCATTTAAATTAAGGGCCAAAGTATATTACCACTGCTGCAATAAGTCAGGACAGCTGAGACCTACAGAAAGTGTTTAGCAGAAGTTGATAGTTATATGACAACTGGCTCCACCTGAATCTCCCTGTTTGGTAGCCTTAACATCCAAAGAGATTTAAAGAAAGAATGAAAAAAAAATAGGTAGAGTATCATCATCACTTTCCCCAAGAGCTCTTCTTCGGGGGAAACAGAAAATCTGCTTTCAGAGCAACAAGTCCTCCACGTCTACCAAAACCATGCGACTCGGGAGCCAGAGCTGACCCAGACACAGAAACGCACACGCTGGAATTTGACAAGCGCCTCTCATTTTGCCCCATTAAGGCCGTACTAAGAAATAAATGGATAAATTAATAAATAAAGCCACCGTCAGACTGAGGAAAAACGTGCTTCCCGTGAGCGATACTGCTGCTCTCGAACAGTAACACCCTGCACTACCCACAGGCACTAGGAGCAGCGGCGCTACCCTCGCCCCAGGGACGGCCGGCCCAGAGCCCTCACCTCCCCCCCCCCCCCCCCGGGGCCCCCCCGCGGGGCCCGGGGGCAGGGCTGCCCCTAGGTACCAGCCCTCTGCGTGTGGCGTGTGCGATGGAGGAGCTGGGGATGGAGGAGCAGTGCTCTGCTGGCCTCTCTGAGCACCAAGTACTGTCAGGAGGGCAGCTGAGGTGCCACTGACAACCTGGCCATCTGTTCAAGCACAAGCACGTGACAGGCTTATCACTGAGCAGAGGAGTCTTAAAAGCCAGGAAACTTTGTCTGAACTTCCAGCAGGTTTCAGCTGGCAGTACTGGAATGCTTTGTGAAACTTCTCCAAAGTTATCTCCTCGCTGGAGAGCGTTTAACACTCTGGTTCATTTTGTCTGTGGACGTCCAAAGGCAGAGCTGCAGTGACTTGAATTTAAAAGGTTTTCTTTCCATTGTGGCATGGTGAAGCACACGAATAACTGCAATAAACTAGTGGGTGGACCTAGGATGTTATTCCACCCCCACAGCACAGCCTGCGTTGTAGCTGGCCATCACCTGAAGGAATGGTCTTGTCCTATTCCCTCCCTCCAAGGATGTGTGTTTCCACACCTTCCGTTAAGCTGGTCTTGGTTCTTTAATGAGGTATTTCTGGGATTTTTGTGGGTTCCTTTTAATGGAGGGAAAGCAGTTGCATTACATTTTCTGGTAGTTTAGCTCCTCGCAGCTGTGTGCTGCAGGGTCGGAAAGCACCTGTGCTTTAGGAGCATGCAAGTGGCAAAGACACTTTTCCATTGTGTCTCTGTAAAATCAAACCATCTTTATTAAATGCAGTGGTGTAAACTACCTGTTTGTAGGCTTGCACCTTGGGATGACTGCAGGATTGCTCATGGAGTGACAAGTTACCAAGTGTTTCTTTGAGGAGTAAGAGCATCTGCACAGGCACGCTTGCTAGGTTAACTACTCTGCTTGAAGCCTGTGGTAACTTGTTCTTACAGCCAGAACTCCAGTAAGAGCCCAAACCAAATCTATAGCAGTTTGTTTATTCTTAGCACTGGAGAAAATAGAAGAATAAACTGCTTTAGAAGGGTAACCGATATGGAGAAATGTGTCTGGATTATAAATAGTAGTAGATAATTCAGTAAGAAAAATCAACAGAGGTAGTATAGGACTGAGAGTTCCAGGAGATAAGGAGATAACCCTAGGATTTTGTCATTTGTGTTTCTCCTTTCCCTGGTAAAGGGCATTATCCTAGTCATTTGTTCCCCCTCTCCCCTGCCTCAAAAAGAGGATGTTGTGACAACATATCCTGACCACTGAAATCTAAATCTAGCTACTGTCAGCAATGGCTAACCTTCGTTTTTATCCCATGCCTTTTTGCAGCCTTGGGATTTCTTATAACTATATTGTGAATCTGGACAAAACAAGGCGGGAAAGGGGCGGCAGAGGTGAGCGTGCCATCCACCCTGCTAACTCCCCCTCTCTCACGCTTCTAGCCCTTCGGCACGTTTTTCAGTTATTTTGTGGAGAACGTTTAAGACCAAGGATATTGTTGTGCCGCTGTTACTCGTCGCAGGCTCCTGGCGCGCATGGTGTGGTGCACAGGCTGTTGGGCGTGTTTTCGCTTCTAAATGTGCGCCTGAGTAAACTGCACGTGTTTCAGTCTGCCAGGAAGAATGAAGTCTGCGCTCTTCCCTTTTTGTATTTCTGGTCAGTGAGGCTGCATCTCGAATCTGATGCTTAGATCATCCCACCTGAAACTTTTGCGGAATGCTGTGGTGTTGTCTAGGGCTGACTGTGTACTTTCTAATCATTTTTTCACTGTATTTTAGCTCTCACTAATTCAGTGTTCAGTAAGGCAGTAACTAGAATTAGGAAAGTAAGCTGCAGAGTCACAGTGAGATTATGACAGGAGGTATGCTAGTTTTCTTTCTGAGGAAAAAAGATTAAATGCAAATGTTCCATCTCTATCATATAGAAATAAGTCTTTAATATTTTATATTTGCTTCAGATCTATTAACTGATCTCATACTTTGCTCATGTTCTGTTAGTATTGATGACAAAGGTGTTCTTAATATGTATTAAAACTTCTCTAACTTAATGTAAATGTAAGACACCTTTCACTGGTTTAGAAGTCAAGAGGAGGCTACTAAAAAAAAAAAAAAAGAGAGGGAGATGCTTATTAATCAGGAGATCAGTTGCAGAAAACTTCAGGGCCCATACTTGCTAGATATAGCCCATAGACCTGGGATCCCTCTCCATGTTTAAATGTTCTGTTGTCTTCCCAACAGCTGGCAGGAACTCATATTCTTCCATACAAACTTGGCAGGGTCAGATTTTTCCCTTGGTGTGATGGCACTTGCTTCATGTGCATTGACTTCAGTGAAACTACACTGGCCTGTGTTCTGATATTAGTACACAAAATATTCTTCTTATGTCCTGACATCCAGATAATTCCTCAGAAAGTGCGGTTCAAAATCCAAAATACAATCTCAGTATTTTCCACAATTATATTGTATTCTATTTCCTGAGGTCTTCTGGCCCCATCTTAAATTTAAAAAAAACCCTATATCCTAGGCTTAGAGGTTCAGTGAAGTGTTTCACTTATAATGCCAGAACAAAAAGCATACATCAGAATAAGTATATTCACATAGAGGTACTTGCTCACTTATGCCAATATAACTGGTAAAAATTGCCTATGTAGCCCAGCTGATTACTGAACAAGGCAACAGAAAAACAAAGGATCTGATTCTAATTTGTTGTGTGATAAACACATCCACTAGCACTGTCAAACAACCAAGGGAATTTGATACCGTGATATTACTGAAGTGTAGTTAGAGGTGGACACTTTTGCAAATTCCTCTGAAAAGTCCTAGCCTTTTAAGTTGTCTAGTAGTGATAAATAATGGTTGTATCCACCTGTTTTGTTGGAGAAAAAGAATACTGTGAGAGTGAATTAGCAAACATTTCAATGATGTTTTTTAAAATACAAAGACTATACCTTTTACTTTCTTCACTTAGTAAAACTAATTATGTATTGATTCATGTAGTTCATGTTGTGACAACATTTAGGTCAAAAAATTCTGAAGATAGGCAAACCATTGCCAAGCAACATCACAGAATACCTTTAAAGGACACATTCACTGTGATTCTACATATTCCAAATACAAACCATTACTATAGTCATGGTTTAACCTTCTTAAAGCAAAATACTATTGAATGGACATAATCATTCTCAAATGATCCATGTTGCTAGCAGTTTCCATAAAGTACTGTGTACAGCGTAAGAAAAATCAGTGTTCCTTTCCATGTAGCCAGCAACTCAAACTATTAAGCAGCAGGACGGATACCGCTGTACACTTTCAGTTGCTGCTTGTGCCACTTAACCCTAAGGAGTTGCAAACATTTTATCCAACTGGTTAAGCAGGGCTTACAAGTACTTTATATTACTTGCAAATGATAAAGAAGCTAAAGCATACTGGTTTATTTAGTCCAGTGTCCTCTGCTCAACTGTCATCTTCCGTTTCCTGAGATTTCAGTTTAATAATCATCAATACTTTCTGATACTTCACTGCTTTTCTAAGTATTGAACTTGCGTTTAATTTCATGTCTAACCTCATAAATATGAATAAGTCACATATTTCAATATCCTTATGAAGCACAATGTAGCTATATGGTTGAGCTCATTTTGTAGTGGTTCACAGGGATGTAGGTTAGGAAAAAAAAGGACTCCCATTCTAACTAATAGGGTTCCTTCTGTTACTCAATTTCATTTTCTGCCTTTCTGAAGTATAAAATAAAACATGCTGTTTCACTGTCTTGGAGAAGCCAGGAAT